CAGAAATGGAATACCAAATTAAATAAAAGAAGCAAATTTAAAGATACAAGCTGAAAAATAACACTCTAAGTAGTGTTTTTGAATATTGACAATATTTAACAAAGAAGATACGTCCGAAGGGGCTGAAGTTCTGATCAGCGAAAGGTATGAGCTAGTCTATATTTTCGTTCAGACAATTACATGCGTATTAATTTGATAATATACGATCTCGCTTGACTTTCAAAGACCATAAATCGCACTAATGTTGACATTTTACTAAAACTATCGATAGAAATTAGGAGATATTTCTTCACTGAATCGAACGGTGGGATTTACATATAGGCCCGTCATGTTCTGAACCAAAGATACTTGATAGATATACGAACCTCCAAAGTATGAACTAGGGGCCGGTTGATGCAGTAATTATCAAATAACAGTTAAACTCTTATATACCCGTTGAATATGTATAGTTGAAAACAAATAAAAACTATCGTTCTATAAGGTTCAAAACTTTCAGTTTGGTTGTTGACTGATGATGAATCTATAGTATAGACTTGCATGCTTTGTATTTTGAGCTTATTAAACCACCGTTTTAAGGCAGCTAAACGGACTTATTAACACATAAAATAAATTCCTTGATTCTCCTCACTAGACACAGTCTACACTTTGAAATGTCAAAGACAGTGGGAGATTTATTTTTTATATTTTATATTTATATAATTTATATATCAATAGTTCGTATCTCCACGAACAATGACAGAATGACTGAATTTCTTTAAAATACAATGAAATTTCATTCAAAATTCTGTTTGTTTCAAAATGGAAATTTAAAATGGCAATAAAAACCCTATATAAAATATTTAAAAATTAACTGTCTTGAATTATTTTTTCGGGCGGTACATTTATATTGTATAACAAAATATAAAACATTTTCACGAGGATTTTAAAATTCAGTCGGGCGGTGATGAGAATCAAGGAATTAATATTATGTTGGGCAGTTGGGACTTGGGAGCAACTTGGGAGTGGCTAATTTTGAATATTTACTTAATGACATCTATAAATAGCTTTGATGCTTCAGGCACAGAATACTACACAGAAGTCCATCTCCATTGTTTTTTGCGTAAGCGTTATTCGTCATGATTCGTCACTCAGCAAGTACCGTAAACAGAAGCAGTCACCCCCCTGGAAATACTAAAAATAGCGCATGTCCAGGGGGGTGACTGCTTCTGTTTACGGTACTTGCTGAGTGACGAATCATGACGAATAACGCTTACGCAAAAAACAATGGAGATGGACTTCTGTGTAGTATTCTGTGCTTCAGGGGCGGTAGTTCATTTACACCCAGTTTTGCGGCAGGCGGTATTTCCTACGTACCGCCTGCCATGCAGGCTATAGTACGCCAAAAGACTTGCGACGAACTTTTTATTCTGATACGCGAATACATCCGGAAGTACGTGGATTTATAAACCTCTTTTCAATCTGCGGATGCTCACCAGTACGTTTCGGTACGATACGGGCAAAGTGGAAAACCGGCTTAATTCTAATTGTCGAACGAATTTCGCAATATAGTTCTTCGAATCACGCAACAGTATCACGTATTCTGTGTGCGCACGCCAGAACCAACCGTCCAAGTAGCGCGCGAGCTCAAAATCAACTGTAATAATTTCTTGCAATTTCAGCCAAATCGATAAACAAATCCACAAAATACACAACGAATATTGAAGACTTTACCAATCAAATTTCTCTTTACCAAAGACGAACACTTTACACACAGTTCTTCTATGATTTTAATCCTCAATGTCGTTGAAAAAGGTAATTGTTTTAGATTTATTACGCAGCAATTGGACTCGCTGCTCGCGCGTCAGGCGCGTCACGCCATCATTTCTCCAGAAATAGAAATAAAGTGTATTTCGTTTTGGTAATAGCACAGATGAAGTATATACCAGATGTGTAACTTAATAGGACTTCGTGTCCTCAAATTTCCCTAGATGTACACGTCATGCTCACGCCATGACACTTGCTAGGAAGATGGCGTCCTGGAAAACACGAACGTTTGCATATTATTGCGGCTTTTTTGCATCGAAATTTATGGATTAGACAATCAAGAGCATCATTTGTTCAATGTTCAAATTTGTTAAAAGCAATTAAAGTTGTGGAAAAGGTGTTGAAAGCATTTTGAAAGCAATGACGTATTGCCAAATAACGAATTGTCACGCGAGCGACACTTGCTAGGAAGATGGCGACCGTGGGACAACTTTTTTACTGAAGTTACACATCTGTCCTTACTTAATCTATGGTAATAGCACAGATGAAGAGGTCCTCTTCATCTGTGGTAATAATAATAATAATTTATTCATTTAAATAAAGCGCATATGTTATATTATATACTCGAAGCGCTGTACATTATAAAAATCTATATATATTAAGAATTAAATATGCTATATAAAACATGGTATTGTATACAATTAGAATATACACTAATGTATGTATCTATAATAAGAATGATAGAATCCAATATGATCTCAACCTATAAAGGGTTATAAGCCTTATTGAAAAGAAATGTTTTCAAGCGTTTCTTAAACACAGAAATGTTTTCACAGTTCCTGACATCCAGAGGCAGAGAATTCCATAATTGTGGAGCAGCATGTGCGAAAGCCCGATCTCCTAGAGTCTTACAGTTTGTTTTCGGGATGTATAATAGACCTTGACCATCCGATCGTAATGTCCAGCGATCACTTGATTGTTTTGGGATAAGCATTTCAGAGATATAGATAGGGGCAATGTTATTAAGAGCCTTGTAAACCAGTAAAGCAATTTTGAATTCCACCCGGAATTTTACCGGTAGCCAGTGAAGTGATCTCAAAACTGGGGTGATGTGAGAAAATCTTGGACAGTGGTAGATTAGTCTAGCAGCGGCATTAAGAACTCTCTGCATTCGCTGGACTTGATACTGAGGTATGCCAGCCAACAGAGCATTACAATAGTCCACGTGTGATGTCACGAAAGCATGTATCAAAGTTTTCGTTGTATTAGTAGATAAAAATTTTCTAATTTGTCGTATTTTATAAAGTCGTCTGAATGCTTTACTGCACATCTTGCCTACATGAACTGACATTGACATATGCTTGTCAAACCAAGATCCCATGCTTGTCAAACCAAGGCTCCCTGTATGAAAAAGCGCTGGAAATGCTGAACTGATCAGTAAAAATGGAAGGCCTAGTGGCCCATGTGTAGACAGGAACAACTATTCATTTTCTATACTTGCGCCTGTGTATGAGGTCTATATAAACACTTTTATTAGAAAAAAGAGGAAATAACACTAAACAATAAACCCCATTAAGACCCTACTGTATCACTGATCAGATGATTTATAAAGATTAAAGGTTGCCTGTATCAGCTCACCTGTCAGCAGCCACGACGCATAAAATATTCGAGGGAAGTTCAACAATGCTGGATAATGCGAAGTTTACATATTTGTTTCCACCAAGATCCACTGAACCATAAGAAACACCATAGTAAACTAAGGCGTTAGCAAACCTGAAAATTTAAACAAAGATGCTATTTATTGGGCGCGTGACTTTGATTCATGGGTGGAATTGCAGTTATTTAATTGAATGGATTACCGCTGAACAGAAGAACAGCTTTAACCAAGTTGAACGTTAATTCGCTTTGATTCTTCCGCATGAATTGCACACACAAGCTTTTATAACTATACGCCATTTCTTGTAAATATCTGCTGAAGATGGATTGAAATTGATTCGAAATATACAGTTTTTAAAAATAGATTGTGTATAAAGTATTTTCATGCACACTTTTTTCAGAATAACATTAGTTTTATATTTGCTAAAAGTATCAGCCGGTAAAGGATTCCATAGGCACAGTTTTAGTGTTTGGAACACTAAAGTTTTATTTGACAGCAAGAACTAGTACAAACGTTTACCCTGAAGGCTTAAAAAATTGTAAAAGGACGTAAAAGACAGTTTTGCTTATAAAGTGTAATGTACATGCCAAAGAAAAATGCACCTGACCATTCAGATACAATTTAGCTGTATTATGATTGCCTGAAACGATCGCTAGATAATTATTAGCTACAATTTATTATTGGCGTATTTAATTGAAAAAGTTATGACTAATTTGTTACAAGATTCCGCAGGCCCTGCAGGAATTGTGTGTGACCTTCACATGGTGCAGCAGCGCATGTGAAGAAGGCGATCGTTAGTTTTCCAGTTTCCACTTAATTTTGGAGTAGGTGTAAGAACCGTAGTGCAAGTTTCTTAAATTACCTAATCTTATTTTTAAAAAAGCTTTAAAAAGCAAGAAAAATTATTTTCAAGAGCAAACTCCATGATTTGAACTGGATTCATTCCAAACGCTACAGTATTACTGTAAGCTAAATAGTTTATGGGCAAAAGCGGTTCCATTTAATTAAAATTTCAGGAAGCGTCCATGAAAAGTCGAATTTTACAACCGATCGAACCTTATACACAATAACATGTTGAAACGAATGTTTGGGAAATACAGTTATAACCTACCACAAGTTCCAACTGATCAATGTGATCTTTGCCACTTTCCAGTTGTAAAAGAGATGTTTAAAATTTCCAGCTTCACCACTTCCTTCAACTTTCTTTAGGTGTTCGTTTGGCATTTCTTTTCCATTTATGGCAGCTATTTTTGCGAGTTGTTGTCTTGCCTCATCCTCCCTACCACGAAGTTGTAACCATCGTGCACTTTCCGGAATAAACCTGCAAGGATATAAGTCAAATTTAGTATTCACCCTGCTGCAAATGTAAGTAAAACCATTACCATTACCATATACTAGAAAAACCTGCATGCAGTAACCCTCGTCTTTGTTTTCCAAACATTGGCTCAACATATAAAGTATTCAGAATAACCCTGAAAGTGCTTACGTCGCGCAATTTTCAATCTATCGAAACATTTGGTATACGCATTGCGGTGTGGGATACACGTGGGTCAAATAAATATTCATTAGAGAGTTTAAGCTTCGCGTTACACGTTATACGGCAAACGGCAGGCAAAGAAACATTTTACGGTATCATGCAGGCAATAAAAAGTAAATGAACTTGCTGTTTTAAAACTGAAATACATAATTATTCTTTCGACGCAAGCAAGAAGATATGAAACGAAAAACGAAACACTGAACGCAAACTCGTGTTGCTCGCGTCATGTAAGCCATGGCAACACGATCATTGGTTTCATCATCACCAACGACAAGGTAGGCCAGTTGTGTCCTTGATTTACACAGTGTCCTTAATTGATTTATACAGTACAACTCAAGTGTCCTTGATTTACACAGTACAACTCAAGTTGTAAGCATGCAGGTTGCTTTGGTTGCTGACAGTTTTATGCAAAGGTTGTGCTGTGTAAAACGGCCTTGAAGCATCTCTCGTTTGGGTTTCTATTGATATCAATTGAATATTCTTTTTCAAATATTCGCAAGTAGCATTTAGTTTAAAAAGTAGTAATTTTTAAAAATTATTTTCGGCAATATCTTTTCAGAGTGGTGTGTATTTAATACTTTTACGAAATGAACGAGAGAAGACAACTTACCACCATGCAAACAAACAAGGTATAGCAAAGCAAGCAGTCGCCAGTAGGAAATATCTCCATTCAGTAACAAAATAACCAATTAAAGGCAAAACCATTAAACCAGCCACCCAAAAATAGAAAGAACCAACACCAATCTTTGCACGATGTTTTTCCGTTGTAAATTCAGTGAGCATAACAAAACTGGTAGCGTTGCGAAAGCCTATAGAGTCAAAATGAAATTTAATATTCTTCCTTTTCTCAACTCTACAGTATATAATAACAAAATCCTCACTGTTGAGGGGTGATTTTTGATGAAACAAGAAGTTAACAATGTTGGCTAGCATTTCCATCTATACTATCTGTTATAGGAACGTGTATTAAACTCTTCGTGTCAAATATTCAATATCTCAGAAAGCTACATTCGCATTTATGTTTACATACCAACATGGTTGGTGTCTGCAAGAACTTTTCAGGAACGGAGTTAAGCCTTTGGACATCCAAGAGAATGGCCTCTCTTTGTGGGGGTACCTCAAATCACGAGTGTACCAAACACCTCCCCAGAATTTGGAAACGTTTACGGCATCTTCTTAGGGAATATTGGCATGAGTTCTCCTTCGGAATCAGGTAGCCTGCGAACAGGCTCTCAAGCTGAATTGAGAGCCTGCATCGATGACTAATGAATTTGAATATCTGCCCCGTAACGTTCGTTTTTAGTGTGAAGTTTCACTTCACACTATTGTGATGGCTGGCGAATTCACACGAATCAGTCAAACAGTCAGTCAGTCATAGAGTAAACTTTCCGGGGGGTGTATACGATTTATGTTCGTAGTGATTTATTGTACTTAGTCAGTACTTTGAAGGTTATTTAGGCAATTTCAGTTAACTTATTTACATATTCTGTTATCCTTTTGCCAAGTTCACAAAAATTTCGAGGAATCGCTTTCGTTATTGTAATTTTTTGTAAATTTTAGAACATTCGCTTCTCATGTTGTGTAAAGGATCTTTACCCCGGAACACACGATTTTTTCTTTAGTAGCGCAAATGCGCATGCACTATCAAGCCGTAGATCACGATGGCGTGACGATATGCTAGGAAGGGGTGACAGTGTTGTTTTCAAATGTATAAAGATTTCAGACGTGAATATTGAGTAAATCTTTGAAAATCTACGCAATATATAAATTGATCTTATGCATTACGGGCGTTCAATTAAGTGCCGATAATATTTAGACGGTATATTCATTATACAGAGCTGGGAAGGAGCTAGACCGCCTAGACAGTGCAGTCAAGTGTGTAAACATTTCAGACGTAAATATTGAGTCGAATATCTTGATTCTAGGCATTCATTTGAGTGCCGATATTATTTTCACGGTATTCTCATTATACAGACGTACAGTATGTAGGCAGAAACGAGACAGTGTTGTTTTCAAATTTCAAGTATATAAAGATTTCAGACGTGAATATTGAGTAAATCTTTGAAAATCTACACAATATATAAATTGATCTTATGCATTACGGGCGTTCAATTTAATAAGTGCCGATAATATTTAGACAGTATATTCATTATACAGAGCTAGGAAGGAGCTAGACCGCCTAGACAGTGCAGTTAAGTGTATAAACATTTCAGACCTAAATATTGAGTCGAAAATCTTGCTTCTACTGTTCTAGGCATTCAATTGAGTGCCGATATTATTTTTTCACGGCATACTCATTATACAGAGGTACAGTACGTGCAGGCAGAAGCGAGACAGTGTTGTTTTCAAGTATATAAACATTTCAGACATGAATATTGAGAAAATCTTTGAGATTCTACGCAATAATAGTAATACAATAAATAAATTGATGTTATGCATTACCGTCGATATTATTTAGACCGTGTATTCATTATACATTCTCATTGACTGTATAAGGTGCTACATCACAGAATAGATGGTTATTGAAATCTAAAGTGATATTTATATTCAACACATGCGAAAAGCTGAAAATAGACACACGTCACACTGGGAAAAGTCAAAGGTCAATGAAACTTGTTATTGTGAAACATGTCACAATTAAGTTAAAATGCGGAAGCGGATGGAGCGGATTCACGGAACGGATATGCGGATAAAATACGGAACGGATGAGGATAAAATGCGTCTTTTAATGATGTAACGACGTAGTGCTTATTATTCATAACATATCTTATACAGCTATTTCAATTATAGTTTATTAGATAAATTTAGCATAGCAGTAGCCTCGTGGGGATGCTTTCAGCGACAGCTGCAAATGCAAATGCAAATGCAAATGAAAATTTAGAATATGCAAAATTTGGTTGTTGGTGACACAATAAATAGATGAATTGCATCAGTTTCACAAGGCACGTTTCTGATGTGTTAGGCTTGTTTCAAACGTCACGCTACTCGTGTGCCGAGCGTATTAAAAGCAATAAATAATGAGATGAAATGCCTTTGGTAACTGTTGATTTCGTAGTGTAAGCCATCAAGCTTTTCTAGGTTGTCGGCGACCCTATATAGTTCTTGCAGTTTGAAACTTCACACTATCCTTGGATCCCTAGTTCCAAATATGGAATGTCTATCCTTATATGGTGTTGTTTACAACTTTCGTGCAAACTAAATTTAGACCGTGCAAACTAAATTTAGACCGTACAGTTTATACTGTTTTTCGAAATATAAGATATTCAAGCAAAAGTTCAAATGTTTTAAATACTGTTTTCTCAAAACAGAACATTTCGTGCTTTGAGAAAGATGGCCAAGACCAATTTGATCAGTTAATGTGTTTTTTATGCATAGTGCTTCAGCAGTTGACATATATAGAGCTCAGCGGAGACATATAAATTAGCATCTGACCAATGAGAATTTCGCGTCACGATTTGAGACGCAGATATTCAAATTCATTAGTCATCGATGCAGGCTCTCAATTCAGCTTGAGAGCCTGTTCGCAGGCTAGAATCAGGTTGTGTAGTTTATGGCTGCATAGTATCAGAATAGGCTTGGAGTTTTTCGTACGCTTCCGATCGGTGATCACATAGGGTTTCTAGTTTAGCTAATTTGAGGCCGCCTTCGTGTATGAAACGCCAGGAAATATCCTTCTAAAGGACAATGGCAACGAAAATTTCTATTGGCTATTTCAATCCTACTTGACAACCAAACTATGAAAATATTATCATTTCCTTCTCGAACATTTTAGTCTACGAGTAAAATGCATGCAAACTTTGTGTTTCGCCGCCATCTTGGAAAATTTTTTTGAAAAATGATCTCGAAGGTCAATGAACTTTGACGTCATTGGCTGGGTAGCACCAAAACTACAAGAGAGAATAAATTCTATTGCGTGCGTGTTATGTTAGCTAAAAATATGTCGTTTTTGAGCGTTATACTGGCCAACACTCTTCGCAATCAAACAAGAGAAGTCTACACTATCAGATAAAAACATATCGAGCAACTGGGAAAGCAAGGAATGACGCAATTTACAATACAGGTAATTGATCATAAAATATTGCATTAGTATTTGCCTTGTTACACGGATATATACTATGAGAAATAGTGTTACAAACAAGTTACATACTTGGTAAAACTTTTCTGCCTTTTGTTTTGGCTCAAAATACACGGTATTGTTTATAAATATATGAAATTAAATATTCCTTAGTATACCTAATAGATATAAGTAATAAAAATTTTGGTTGCCAATGTCCTTTCATACATCGTTTTCGAACTCCTTCAATATCCAAATTTAAATATTGCGGTAAGGAGTTATGAAAGACAAGTGAGGCGTATTCCAGTATTTGAATAATTTCATTTGCAAGAACTCGAGCTCTCTCAGTTTAACTGTGTGATTAGATATAGTCGCTTACTGGCCTTGGATACGATGTTATCAACGTGAATTTTTCACTTGCAGTCACTGCTGACTGTAAGACCAGAAATTTTCGCGTGGCTTACCATCTCAATCTCTTTGCCGTTGATTCGGATGGGGTTGAGATGATTTACTTGAGTTTGCTTCCGCGAAAAACCGATTCTGAGCTCTTTACATTTATCCTCTTTGAGTTCGTCCAAATTCGAGCATGTCCGTTCTTGAACTTCGTCAACGGGTTCCTGAATAGAAGTTGGCTTTCCTTTATGAACGACTTCAGATGGAGTGGTGTCATCAACATATTTCCAAGGTTTTGTATACGGGTTGTTGTTAGATCATTAATCATTAGTATATAGCCAAGGACCCAATTTTGTCCCCTGCGGCACACCTGAGTGCACTTGACCCCATTTATAGAATAACAGTTAGATGTTAGCTTTATCCGTTGTTTTCGGTCAATTAGAAAATCAATAATCCAATTGATAGCCAAAGATGGAAGATCGAGAGATTTTAATTTCGTTATCAAACGGTTGTGGTCAAGAAGATCAAACGCCTTTCGAAGTCGAATAGCACTGTACGAATCACGTTACCTGGTTCGTAAAAGGTTGGCATGTTTGTGACGATCACATGTAGTATACAAAATAGGGGTGCACTAAGCACCACCCATGACGTCATCACAATATCATATACCAATTACACGCGCTTGTAATGTATTTAAAAAGTGTGGACCAATGATTACTAGCATTTTAAGAACATTTTTAAAGTTTAATACTTTGCTAACACTTATCCCCACGTATATTCCTTCTAACAAACTGAGTGAATTTTAACACGTTCTCGATATATATTCTACTAAAGTTGTTGTAATGCTTGTGGCACAGAATAAAGATCAGTAACAGAAGGGCAACTCAGCGGTGCAACGTGTCCTCGTTTTTTTATGCAAAAATATGCAGTTTACTGGCCAGAAGGCGGAGCAGCCAGCCAGTACAGCGTGTTTATTGGCCAGAAAATGTCATTGACTGGCTAGGAAAATGGCGGCCAACATGCGTAATGCGACATGCGCGAGGACAGAAACTTCAAAGCTTCCGACGTAAGTTGCCCTTCTATGTGGATCTTTATTCTATGCTTGTGGGACGTAGATAGTATACGCATGCGCAGTGAGAATTGTGTGTTACGAAAATTAATTTCTGACTTATAAGAGTTTGCAAAGATTCCGGGGGGAATTCTGCAGAGAATATCCCAGTTTATTCAGAATTCACCAAAATCATAAACGACAATAGAAATAGAGTATTAAAGGTGTATTTGAATTCATCGTATTACAAGGTTTTATTAGATTATCTTAGAGTGTCCACTACTTTAACACCATCCTTGGGTTTCCCTGGGGATGTATTCACCATGTTTAGGACTATTAAACAAGGTATAATAAAAATCCAGACATACATATGAAAATTTTTAAACAGAACTAAGAGTTGCTAAGCCCAAGTTAAAATCGTTGTCAACGCCGTTGTTATGGCCGATATTTGCATATTACAGAGTCATTAAAAAGTGATTAACCCACCCACCCCGTGTGGATATATACAATTTTTTTTATTTCACCCAGCGAGCTTGAGACAGGAAAAAAAATACTAAAGAACAGAGAGTTATTACAGATTATATGCAAGATATATCGAAATATTGTCGTTTGTGGCTCTCTAAAACTTATACCGCCAAAGTCATTAACAGTCATTAATGGATTACAAGCAAAATTTTAATCTCTTAAGTGCTTATTATGGATAGATAGGGTTATTTATTACATTAAAATCGGGCGCGTGGCTTTGCAGGCAAAAGTTCGCACAAGATTTCACTTTTAAAACACATTTATTTCTTCAAAATGTTTTACAAAGTTATGCTTCTATTATATATATTCACTCTTTTGAGATGTTTCACTATCCGATTCGTCATCATAGCTGCTTTCATCATCCGAGATATTGATATCCTAAGATACTGTGTGATATCCTAAGATATTGTATGATATTGTAAGATACTGTATGATTTCCGAAGATATTGTATGATATTGTAAAATACTATATGATATCCTAAGATACTGTATGATATCCTAAGATATTTAACAGTTATTCTACGAACTCGAGTCGAATATGAGCTGATAGCCGATGAGGCGCGTAGCGCCGAATCGGCTATCGCTCATATTCGACGAGAGTGAGTGGAATAACTGTTTTATTATATACACAAGGTCTGATTTCACAGACTTTGCTTTTCGAATATTTTCAATATTTTTCTATTTTGTTTATGTTTTTATCTTCACTCTTTCAGCCGATTATTTTTTCAAAAATATATATTTTTAACCATTTTAAATTAAAAAAAATTATTTGCTAACCTGAAAACAACTTGTGGGAGCTTTTTGATTGTGTTTTTAATCCTGTAAAGGCTATAAAAAGCGACAACTTGCCGTTTTCTCGTTTGCAAAACATCGTAAATTCAGTTTGGCCGCCATTTTGTTTTTCTCTACTACTAGCAGGATATTAGCTAATATCCTGCTAGTAGAGAACCAATCAGATTGCAGAATACCTCATACCTCATATAATTGCTCCAGATTCCTTATTCTAGACTAAAGACATACGGAGACAGATCGTTCTGTGTTGCTGGACCAAGATTGTGGAATGATTTACCTGTTCATCTTCGGATGTGTGAATCATTAACCATTTTTAAGAAGTTTCTTAAAACATATCTTTTTAACTTGTTTTTAAATAGTGTATGATGTATTCTATAGTTTTAACATTCTTAACACTAGTTTTTAAGATTGGATTTTGTATTACTGTAAAGCGCCTAGAACAGTCTTGGTTTGTGCGCTATATAAATGTTTATTATTATTATTATTATTATATCCAGACCTTGTGTATATAATAATGTATGATATCCCTAGATATTGTATGATATCCTAAGACACTGTATGATATCCTAAGATATTGTATGATATCCTAAGATATTGTATGATATCCTAAGATACTGCATGATATCCCAAGATATTGTATTGTACGGAATAGTGGACCCCCCCCCCCAATATAAGTGACGTAAGCATGATTGACGTTTGCATAAAAGAAACATTAATAACATGTTGATGGGGGGTCGTTTATTATTAGATTATGTGAGACGAGACAAAACAAAACAAAACAAAACAAAACAAAACAAAACAAAACAAAACAAAACAAAACAAAACAAAACAAAACAAAACAAAACAAGTGAGTTGTGAGCGTGAGAATTCTATATTTTTATACAAATAAATGTAATTTGTCTTTGTGATTTCTGTGGTTATATACCTGTTAACAATTTAACAAGAGAAGTTCGGTATATAAGTGGTGCCGTGACCAGGATTGAACAAAAATCAAACGGTAATTTAAATATTTAACGAGTGATTTAACGACAACAACACATTATTTGGTCATGTAAATACGAGAATTTATCGATTTGTACGACGTGGAAGATATAACAATGAGCGAGGAGACAGCAGAAAAACAGAAGGAGGTTGAAATAGACAAGGAAATCGAAAAACTAAAGTACTATCTCTAGCCAATTGACGATATTATTGAAGAAGGCGATTACGCAGAGATCGAAGTTGTAAAGAAACGAACAGACGCCATTTTTGACAAGGTAAATAATCTTGTTGCAAGTGTACAAGAGCTTAAAATTGATCCAGGAGGTGAAACTCAGAGAGCAATACGACAATGGAAAAAGGACACGAAGGATAAATATACGCGCAATGGGTGCCAAAAATGAACAAGCTTTCGCAAATTCTTGAAAAAAGGCAGAGGGAAATTGACGACGAAGCAGAGCGGTAAACAAAATGTGCAACGCGAGAAGGATGAACAACGTTTGATCGAATTACGAGAGCGAGAAAAGTTGATGTGGGAAGAAAAGTTCGCCGCTGAGCTGCAAATGACGGAAATGAAAATCGAAATGGAGAAATTTGCGAAAAGCAGTCTAGCGAAACTTCCTCAACTGAAAATCACTGCATTTAAAGGAACTGCCGCAGATTGGGTTCGTTTTGAGAATATGTTTCTCACACAAGTCGATAAAAGACCCATCTCAGATGAAGAAAAGTTTGGATATCTCCTTGAATCAGTTGTGCCAAAGGTAAGAGATCGCATATCAAATCTAAAACCAAGTACTTTGGGATATAAAATGGCATGGGATCGACTTAAGCAAGAATATGGTCAAACCAAATCGGTAATTAATGCCCATTTGGACGAAATAATCAATCTAGCTGCGGTGAAAGGGTCGAACTATGAAAAGGTTGTAAGACACTTTCGACAATGGAACAAAGAAAGAAGTTTTTCGTCGAAAAGAACTTGTGTTTTAATTGTGGGCGAGCAGGGCACCGGGGAAACCAATGTCGTAGTCGTGCCTGTTTTAAATGTGGATCGAAACACCATATCAGCTTGTGTGACAAGAAACCAGATAAACCAGCTACAGAGCCTGTGTTACATGGTTACAGTACCTTTGTAGAAGAAAAGTCCGTCCCAGACATAGTTCCTGTCAAAATAGGCGAAGAAACATTGTGGGCGTTTCTTGACACAGGGTCTGGAAGGAATTTCATCTAGCGGGATGCAGCAAAGAAACTGAAGTTAACCCCAGTTCACTATGATTCTAGAGAAATTGTAACATTGAATGGTATCAGTAAGCAATCTATGCCAATCTACCAAGTCAGTATTAATTCCCTGGATGGAACTGCAAGAAGAGATTCAAGTAACCGGTTCCAAGATGCGCGACTTCACAACAGTACGAAGACCCGACATTAGCCAGTTGAAACAGAAATTTTGTCATGCAAAGGATAAGATGTTCTACATGGTGCGTTCAGGCAACTATCCAATACACCTCATCTTGGGAGATAAAACTTACAGCAGAATCAGAACAGAACAAGTGCTCAAGGGAAACGAAGGAGATCCAGTAGTCGAAGAAACCACTTTCGGTTGGCTTATCCATGAGGGAGATTATTACAGTAGCGACCAGTGCATGTTTGTTCGGGAGACCAATGAGTGCGAGCAGCTTTACAGTTTGGATGTACTCGGTGTTGAGGACCGCAGCGAGAAAGACCAGATGGAGGTGCTGACTGACTTTCGAGAAAGTGTAACAAGGCAAGAGGACGGTCGATATGAAGTAAGTATACCATGGATTCCTGGAGCCAGATTGTACAGTACTAACGAACAGCCGAGCAGAATACGCCTAGCCAATGTCAACAAGAAGTTGAGTAAAGATCGATCATTAAAAGTAGAGTATGAAAAGATAGTTAAAGATGAGCTTGCCAATGGCATCGTAGAAAAAGCTCCAGAAAAGCCAGCAGGAAAACGTACATATTACATGCCTCACAAGCCTGTGATCAGGGAAAACGCAACAACAACAACAACAACAACAAAGATCAGAATGGTTTTTGATGTCAGCGCTAAACCAGCCCCATTGGCTAACAGTATTAACGAATGTATGTTCACTGGACCGTCCTTGCAACCACTACTTTGGGACATCTTGATCAGAGCGCGTATGACACCAAATCTACTTCTGGCAGATATCCAGAAAGCCTTTTTGCAAATAGGAGTTAAGGAAACGGACAGAGATGCTTTTCGATTCCTGTTCGAAATCGATGGAAAGGAGGAACATTTCCAGTTTGCAAGATTACCATTCGGCGTCGAAGCCAGTCCCTTTCTGCTTGGAGCAACGTTGGGATACCACCTTGAGCAACAGCCGACAAGATTTGAGGAAACTGTGACAGCTCTTAAAGAGAATACATATGTTGATAACATCATGAAAACTGGAAGTGATACTGACGACTTGAGGAAATTTAAAGAAGAAAGCTCCATCATTCTTGAGGATGTCAAATTCCCAATCCACAAGTGGGAATCAAACATCGCGTGCCTCGAAGACGAAAACATGCCAAACCCAAGTAAAATACTCGGACACGTCTGGAATAAACAAGAAGATACATTAGAATTCGAAGCAGCAACCATGCCTGAGAACCAACCTGTAACAAAGAGGAGCATTTTGAGTCGGTTAGGAAGAGTCTACGATCCTTTAGGAATGGTATCGCCTACCATGGCTGAGGGTAAGCACATATTTCGAGATGCCTGTGAAGAGAGGAAAGGTTGGAACGCTGAAGTGTCAGAATCCTTGAAAAGGAAGTGGATCAAGTGGAACAATCACATGAAGAATGTTAAAGTTCCTAGAGCTATAACTAAGAAATCGGACGTGATTGAAGGCATTCAACTCCATTTGTTTGCAGATGCTAGTAACCTTGCTTGCTGTGCAGCAACAGCCGCAGTGGTGGAGCACAAATCAGGAACTGTGAAAGGTCTGTTAACGTTCAAATCTCGAATTTCCAAAAAGAACACCACAATACCGAGGTTGGAACTTGTGAGTGGTCAAATGGCGGCGAACATGGCAAGGAATTTATACCATGCGCTACTGCGATTGCCTGTTAAGTCTATCATCATCATCTGGGTGGACAGTATGGTCGCGCTTTACTGGTTAAGTAACCCCGGAAAGCCTTGGAAGACCTTCGTCACTAATAGAGTTAAGAAGATAGCAGAAATTACCAACGAGATTGGTTTGGTGTGGAAGTATTGTCCATCAAGTGAGAACTTGGCGGATCTAGGCAGCAGGGGAGCTACAATTGAGAAAATGGTAAAAGACGGATGGTTCACTGGTCCTGAGTGGTTGTTACATGTAGAACAGTGGCCCAAACAACCCCAGCTTAAGGTTACTACACACGTGAGCGAAGAGAGCAAACCCAGCATGGTGGAGGTCCTTTTTACCAAAGAACGAGAGCCTGATGAATGGGATGCGCTGCTGGGAAGAAGTTCATATTGGCGCACATTAAGAGTTACAGCGTGGGCACTGAGATTCCTGCACAATTGTTTGGCGAAACGACGTAAAGAGAAAAGAAAATCTGAGCCCATTGGAAACGAAGAAATCGTGAAAGCAAAGAATACATGGGTGATAAGGATTCAGAGAAATATTAACCCCACTCTACAAGCACCTGGCTGGAAAATCTTCGAAGACAAGAACACAAACATTCTCAAATGCAGGGGAAGAGTTCGGGGATATACTCCAACATTTATCGAAAGAGGATTGTTTGCAGAGAAGCTTATCACACATACACACAATCAAATTATGCACCTGGACGTTGCAAATACAATGGCCGCCTTGCGAGAAAACTGGTGGATCCCTCAACTAAGATCGAAGGTAAAGAAGGTGATAAAGAATTGAAACGTTTGCAAACTGTACTCCACGAAACCACACGGAGCGACAGCGACAAGCAACGTGCCTAAATTTAGAACTGAGACCAGCAAGCCATTTGAGATCACTGGCTTGGATTTCGCCGGACCGTTAAGGCACAAGGTCAACAAAAAGGAAGAAGGAAAGTGTTACGTTCTAATTTTTACTTGCACTGCGTGCAGAGCCGTTCATTTGGAACTAACTAAAACTCAAGAAGCTTGTGAATTTCAGCGAAAACTTAACGCATTTATCGCACGTAGAGGAAGACCTCGCTTGATGATTTCCGAGAATGCTGCTACTTTCAAAGCGACTGCAAAGTGGACTAAGCTAATTCGAAAAAGTGAGAAGCTTCAGGATTTCCTCGCAACCCAAGATATCCATTGGAGATTTAATCTGGCAAAGTCCCCATGGTGGGGAGGCATCTACGAGAGGCTGATTCGTGAAATCAAGAAAACCTTACACAAAACCTTGGGAAAATCACACCTATTCTTCGAAAAGGGTTGGAATCGGTCGTATTGAACATCGAAAGCAACATGAACAACCGTCCGTTAACGTGCGTAGAATGTGATGGTGGTTAACAAGTCCTGACACCAAACATACTCATTCGGGGAGAAAACTCTTACATGTTCGACGATGTTGAAGATGAAGAAGACGAGCTAACCAAGATGCAAAGAAGACTTAGAAAAGCAAAAGATGATGCATGGAAACGATGGAAGCAAGAATATGTGCATAGTTTACTGGAGAGCCAACGAGTCAATAACAAGCTTGTCGAAGCACCACAGAATGGAGACGTTGTCCTGGTAGTGGGAGAAGAGAAGAACAGGGGAGAATGGAAAAAAGGGAAAGTGCTTCGACAAGTTCGTGGAAAGGACGGTGTAGTCAGAGGAGTTGTGCTGTTGCACAAAGGGCATACTATTGAACGACCACTACACTTGATCTGTCCGCTTGAGATTCACTGCACACCAAAAAAACGACACAAAGAAGTTGAAGAAAAGGAATCGGAGAAAGAAAAGAGACCTCAGAGACAAGCCGCAAAGAAAGCAATCAAGAAAATAAATGAACTAACGCAGTTGGAAGAGGACTGAACATTTAATATATACGTTGATATTCGGGTTTGAAGTTATAAAAATTAAACCTTAATTTTTAGGGGAGTGTGTACGGAATAGTGCCCCCCCCCCATATAAGTGACGTAAGCATGATTGACGTTTGCATAAAAGAAACATTAAGAGCATGTTGATTGGGGATCGTTTATTATTAGATTATGTGAGACGAGACAAAACAAAACAAGTGAGTTGTGAGCGTGAGAATTCTATATTTTTATGCAAATAAATGTAATTTGTCTTTGTGATTTCTGTGGTTATATACCTGTTAACAATTTAACAAGAGAAGTTCGGTATAGTACGATATACTCAGATTCTGCATGATACCCCAAGATATTGTATGATATGATACTGCATTATATACTAAGATATAGGTATCCTAAGATAATACATTCAATGATTCAATCTATGAGTCAATGATTCAATCTATGATTCAATGATTCAATCTTAGGATTCAATGAATCAATCTTAGGATTCAATGATTCAATCTTAGGATTCAATGATTCGAGCTATGATTCAATGATTCGAGCTATGATTCAATGATTCAATCTATGATTCAATCTATGATTCAATAATTCAATCGTAGGATTCAATGAGTCATTCTTAGGGGCTGATTACATGGACCGAGTTGTCCCACTTTGCCGAGTTGTCCTGGCTAAGTGAGTTGACTTTTGAATTGCGATTACATGCACCGCGCTAACCCGGCTAGCCGGGCTGAAGTAGCTCATTAAGATTTGTAATGCTTAACAATTTAATACTCGGTGTTAGAAATCGATTAAAAATGGTGTATTTGTTGTATTTGAAGACTACTTTACCCACTGAATGTTGTTGGTTGAGGTATTTATACTTAGCGCTGATCCCAACAGGCTTATACTGTTTGTATTCCAACAAAATTGTGTCGCTTCCTATCTAAACCTTGAAAACGTTCATTAATATCATTTTGATGTTATTTGAAGTTTTTTTAACTTATATTTGTACATATAATCGAAATTAAAACATGCATAATTGTGGTTTTCAGCCCGCTTTGCAGAGCCAACTCGGCAAAAAGCGATTACTTGGGATGTGTGGGCAATTTCTGTCCCGGCTAAGCGAGTTAACTCGGCAAGCTACAGCCGTGGTCCCGGCAAGGCGGGACAACTCACTTTGCATGTAATCGAAATGTCAAAATAATAGACAATACATATAGGAAGCGTGTCAACTCGGCAAAGCGAGTCAACTCGCTTAGCCGGGACAACTCGCCCATGTAATCGGCCCCTTAGGATTCAATGATTCAATCTTAGGATTCAATTATTCAAGCTATGATTCAATGATTCAATCTATGATTCAATGATTCAATCTTAGGATTCAATTATTCAATCTGTGATTTAATGATTCAATCTTAGGATTCAATGATTCAATCTTATGATTCAATGATTCAATCTTAGGATTCAATGATTCAATCACAGGATTTAATGACTCAATCTTATGATTCAATGATTCAATCTTATGATTCAATGATTCAATCTAGGATTCTTACCTCAAAATTCCGCAACAGTCTGTTTCATCTGTAAATAATCATCAGGAGGTATGACAAGTTTCATACCCGCCGAAACTTGTCATATGCCGAAACTTGTCATATGCCGAAACTTGCCATACCGCCTGATGATTCTTTACAGATGAAACAGACTGTTGCGGAATTCTGAGGTAAGAATCCTAGATTGAATCATTGAATCATAAGATTGAATCATTAAATCCTGTGATTGAATCATTGAATCCTAAGATTGAATCATTGAATCATAGATTGAATCATTGAATCGTAAGATTGAATCATTGAATCCTAAGATTGATTCATTGAATCCTAAGATTGAATCATTGAATCATAGATTGAATCATTGAATCATAGATTGAATCATTGATTGAATCATTGAATGTATTATCTTAGGATACCTATATCTTAGTATATAATGCAGTATCATACAATATCTTGGGGTATCATGCAGAATCTGAGTATACTATATCATACAATATCTTGGGATATCATACAATATCTTGGGATATCATACAATATCTTAGGATATCATACAGTATCTTAGGATATCATACAATATCTAGGGATATCATACAATATCTTAGGATATCATACAGTATCTTAGAATATCAAAATCTTAATTAGGATATTGTTCAGTATCTTAGGATATCAAGATGTTAGGATATCAATATCTCAGGATATAAATATCTTAGGATATCATTATCTTAGGATATCAGTATCTTAGGATATCATACAATATCTTAGGATATCATACAATATCTTAGGATATCACACAGTATCTTAGGATATCAATATCTCGGATGATGAAAGCAGCACGATGATGAAAGCGGCCACGATGACGAATCGGATAGTGAAACATCTCAAAAGAGTGAAGATATATATTGGAAGCATAACTTTGTAAAACATTTTGAAGAAATAAATGTATTTTAAAAGTGAAATCTTGTGCGAACTTTTGCCTGCAAAGCCACGCGCCCGATTTTAAGGTAATAAATAATCCCTATCTATCCATAATAAGCACTTAAGAGATTAAAATTTTGCTTGTAATCCATTAATGACTGTTAATGACTTTGGCGGTATACGTTTTAGAGAGCCACAAACGACAAAATTTCGATATATCTTGCATACAATCTGTAATAACTCTCTGTTCTTTATTTTAACTTGGGCTTAGCAACTCTTAGTTCTGTTTAAAAATTTTCATATGTATGTCTGGATTTTTATTATACCTTGTTTAATAGTCCTAAACATGGTGAATACACCCCCAGGGAAACCCAAGGATGGTGTTAAAGTAGTGGACACTCTAAGATAATCTAATAAAACCTTGTAATACGATGAATTCAAATACACCTTTTATACTCTATTTCTATTGTCGTTTGGGGAATTCTGAATAAACTGGGATATTCTATGCAGAATTCCCCCCGGAATCTTTGCAAACTCTTATCACTGCGCATGCGTATAATATCTACGTCCCACAAGCATTACATGGGGATAAGTGTTAGCAAACTAAGCAAAGTATTAAACTTTAAAAATTTTCTTAAAATGCTAGTAATCATTGGTCCACACTTTTTAAATACATTACAAGCGTGTGTAATTGGTATGATATGATATTGTGATGACGTCATGGGTGGTGTTTAGTGCACCACCCGTCCCAGAACCCCTATTTTGTATATCACTATCACATCTAAAGTGTTCCCGCCTCGCGTGGGAAAGTCCACTAGTTGTTTTAGTCTAGTTTTGACGTTTAATCGACGATGTAGGAATTTCATGTTGTCCGATTCAAGGCCGTCTAGCTGAAAACACTGAAATTCTTCACGAATATAAATACAAACACTACCGTGAGAAGTAAGAGTGCGGTCTTTGCGTACTAATTTATATCCAGGGATATGAATTGCATTGTCGTTAACGGTGTGCCACGTTTCGATAATGCATGGCTAGATCTAAATTTGAATCCAAAACAAACGAACGAACGAATTTCGTCGATCTTGGAGGCTATTTTAGTGACATCGCATTAGTTAACATCAAGCTGGGAACAAAATGTTTTAAGACTTTCCTTATCTACCTGTTTCATATCCTCGGCTTGAGCCTTTATATAGCTATAGGTTGTTTAAATTGACTCGGAACTTATAATAACTGCGTCTGACGAGGCTAAATGGTCGTTGAAATAAGTCACGATTTGTCATTGAGAATGATTGTCGAGTGCATGAACTTAAATCAGAGGGAAATTGGTTTCCCATTTCCAAACAGTTTAAATACAGTTGGAAAATTGAGCAAAATGGCTGTTGAAATCAAAAGGCAATATTTCTGTGTTGCGTTATTGAAATAAAGAGAAAAGCTAGTCAACTCAACAAAATATTTAACATCTTATATCACTTTGAGAGAATTTCAATCAAAAATGATTATATTCCCATTTCTGTCAGAGTGACATTTGCGACACACTGTAGAACAAACATTATACTCGCAGCAAGTTGGCGAATTAATGCACATGTCAATGAAAAAAAAATGCATTGTTTGTTTGAAATCAGCGTATTCAGTAGTTCACGTGATTTAAGCGATAACAGTAAATTCGATATTTGATAATTAAATAGAGCGTTTGCACATGACGTCACAGCCGCCATGTTGGTGTTCCAATTCAACGGCCGCCATGTTGGTGTTCCAATTCAAAAGAATTTTAATTAGACTCTTTTGTCTGGAACACCAACATGGCCGCCATGGCTTTTGTTGAGTTGGTATGAAAGATTTGGGGAAAATCATAATCCATCATACTTAACCTTTTAGAGGTCAGTGTATTTACCTGATCCAAGGCCAATGACAATTCGACATGTGATAAATACAATGAAAGATTTGGGGAAAATCATGATCCAAGTTGCAATGGTAACGGAAACTAATCCAGTGTAAAAGATCTTTTTTCTACCAAATTTGTCTGATAAATAACCACCGGAAAGTAAACCAAACAGCATTCCAACCCAATAACATGACTGTGCAACTGACTGCAATATCGAATTCTCACATACTAGATCGTACTAAGGAATAATAAAGAACATGTAGTGAGTATAAATGAATTTAACACAAACAAAACAAAAGATCTGAAAGTCTGCAATATCTCATGATGTACGTGTGCACAAATACACGTTCTTTTGCAAGCAAATAATGCGACTTGTTCACACTGGCAGCGATATAAGGGTGCATTCTGTGTAAGTGAACAGTGGGCCGTTATAACCTACTTTGCGTAGGTTATAATGTATAATCAAACACTTCTAAGAAAGATGAACGGTCAAAGATCACTAATTAAAAATAGAAGAATGCTGTTTTTAGGGTTTGTAATCCAAGTGAGTATATATACATTTTAAGACCTGACGAGGAACGACTGCGAAAAATGCAGCACAAGGTTCTCTGGTAGGAATTGAACCTACGGCCCTGCGATTCCGGTGCAGCGCTCTAACCAACTGAGCTACAGAGGCCAGCTGTTAAGCTGAAAATACGTACTATATTGATTCCTATTTGTGCTTGATTATTAAAATTCTCTAATTACTGTAGATACTGCCATGAATTTCTCTTCAAAAGATCAAAATATTATACGGTAAATCTTGCATCAGTAATAAGCTTCAGTAATGTCTATTGTTTGGCAGCTGATTCAACCGCGTTCTGCAGATGATAGAAGATAATGCCTATGGATTACAATACTTTGTAATAATGGGCGTGCTTTAAATATTACTTAAAGATTATGAACTGACTGTAAAAGTAGCTTGTGTCGCAGACCTTACAATTAGTAAGGTCTGTGAACTTTGGCGCGATTGCTCGTTGCTGTAAAAATTAAATCCCCAGTTTTGGGTATTTAATTTATTCAAAATTTGCGTAATAATTCGTTCGCATTATTGAAATTTGAGGTGATTTTAAACATATTTTGGTATGTTATACGCATTCTATAACTAAAATATTGCATCGTTTAAAATGCATTGTTCTAGTTTTTGTAACTTTATATTGTCAATTTGATAGTTTTTGACAGCAACTATTCACTTTGTAGAGGTTGCATGCATGTATATTTCAAATAATTGCTGCCGCAGGCAGCTTCCTATTCTTGTGATTTGTTCCCAGACCTCTTTACCGAGTTATATGAATGCGACAATGATTTGGATTTAGCAATGTTTGGATGTTCAGTTTTATGACGTTTTGTGACGTAGAAGATTCGACGGGTTTTTACCATAGATATGGTTTTTACGGAAGCTACCGGCTGCTCTTCGGAACTTGCCAAGAATTAGCACGAGGGCGAAACTTACAAGTTGGCAAATATTTAGCATTAAGAATTATGTCTTCTTGTAAAGTCATATATTTAAGGTAAGATCAAAGCATTATCTATGATCCTTTTAGTTTACGAAGAATTTTCAGAAGGTTTGTCGATTTGTTCTTCTATTTATGTGGGCTCGCGTTTGATTTTATAAACCTGACAGTGCATATTTGGTGTTGGGAATCATTGTGTTCACGCTGTCGTTGATCAATATATTGATCAGACACTGCGTGTTGGTCACGGTGGCCAAACAGGCAACTCAAATAAAATTTACATCAATTCTAAACAAACAAACGGAAACAAACGAGAGCCATTGTGTTCAAAACAAACGAGAGCCATTGTACGAAGGTATCACGTGACTCAGAGCTACAGTATATCATATAAAACTGCAAATTTTACAGACCTCTATTACTGCCGCTGATAGATCAAGTCGCAGTGATATATATTGCATTTGGTTAAATGGGGGTAACAATTGAGCAATATCGTGCCTGAATTCAATTGGTGCGCATTTTAATAGTTATAGTGTGAGAAGCAATGATCTATCGGGCATCAGACGTCCTTTTCTCGATAATATAAATATGTTGATATGAGCACCTGTATATGAGTACTTCCGCACACCGGAAGGCGCATGCATGCCGTGGTGCGCATGTCCAGTAGCGACAATAACAAAAATGTAAACAATACTTAAGGTGGCTTTTCAACTAAAAAATGACTGTAGGGCCCCTTTAAAAGACAATGTCAGTGTTGAATAACGTAGTGGGCTACTGGGCTTATATTCGGGGGACTTATATTTGGTGGTCTTATATTCGGGGGGCGGGGCTTGTATTCAGGGGGCGGGGCTTGTATTCAGGGGGCGGGCCTTGTATTCAGGGGGCAGGTCTTATATTCAGGGGGGAGGTCTTATATTCAGGGGGGCTTATAGTCGGAGGTTTACGGTGTATAACTTTTTATTGGTAGAGTATTGCAAGTTATTTCATTACAACTACTTAAATACCTCCTACAACCCATCACTATATTAGTACTATATTCAAGACAATTAACAAATTTTGTTGTGGATTACCTGCAATGCATTGCAGCTGCCACACGATGCTGCCACCAGTGGCGTAACTACTATGGGCTCGCACCAGGCGAACCCGGGGGCCCCCAACCCCAATGGGTCAAATGGGGGCCCCCAGGGTCAGGCTGTAGAGCAAAAACGTTGGCCAGGCCGGCCTCTGATATGTCACAATGTCGTTTTTGACCATCAGAATTCTGTAAAATCTCTCCCTTTGGTCCGGGAAATGGCATTTCAGAGACTCTAGATTCAAACATTTTCCGGCTGAGCATGCCCTGGACCCCTAGAAAACTTGTGCATATATGGCGTTCAACTGGCACTTCTACTAGGGGGGGGGCTTTGAAAATTTTGAACTGGGGGCCCCCTGATATAACGTTACGCCCCTGGCTGCCACATGATTCATCATCAAAATGCTGACGCCATGGTCCTACCCAGTGCGCTTATGGAGGTCCACCATTTTGAATATTATCAGGGGGTGAATGCCTCTCAGCACACTGGCTAGCACCATGGCGTCATTTTGATTACGAATTACGCCATTACGGTCATGTAACACTGACGTTGAGACGCGTTGGTAACCAGGCCTCCATGTCAAACATAAGGTAATCAAAGTTAAGCGCTAACTTGTTCGCAACGCGAATACACCTACGGCAGCAATTTCACTAACTTTTTGTTATACTAGTATAAATATCATTCAAATATAACTCGAAAACCGAGTCATTGTTCGCACTTTTTGGAGCCTTTGACAACCACATGATGTCGTCCAGAGCAAGACATGATATACTGTAGTAAACCAACATTTTAGGAAAGCGAAATAACAGAGCGTCAAAAAATAAGTATGTATTAAAAACCAAACATTGAATCTTGTAAACGTCAAGTCATTTATTTCAGCGATACACATATTTCACATTTTTCGATACACATATTTCACAGCTTTGCAAGAATGCTACTTCAATAATTTAGGGAATCCAGTATACAAAGCGAATTTATCCCAAGAAAATAAATGTGCACCAATACGAGTCCTAATTACCGTGAAATGTACACAAGAAAAGCTAGAAAATAAATCTTGTGTATCCTGTCGAATGTCAAGCTTGTGACGCCGATGACTAACAAAAAACAGGGTACCAATGTTTAAGCTGTAATTATACCTCAGTCACAGTTGAAGTAAAACCATCAACGTATGTCCAGGCTTCTCTCGGCATATCACATCTTGCTTTATAATCATCACTCGTCAATCCAATTGATGTAGTAAAATTACAGATAGAACTGTTATATCCCTTTACACATTGCCAATCTGGTTCAGCTGTTATAAATGTCACGATCATGACAGGAAAGGCACCGATAGCAAAGACAGAATACCCAAAAATTCCAAGCAATATCCATTGATATTTGTTAAATTCTCCGATCTTTTCCAGCACCTGATCAACTGAGAGCGTCATTTTTCAATTTTTATCTATAGGTAGTATAAAATAAATTATGATGATACATTTTAATGTTCTTATATTAATGAATAATGTTCATAGAAGCCATACACCCACATTGTGCCTCAAACACAGCAGCCTCGTACGCCTACCGCACGTTCATAGTGAAGCAATGTACGTACACTGTACAATTTTCCAGCAAAACTATATAGCTTGCGAGTTGCTCATTACAGAGTAATTACATACAGAGGTCTCACTTCAGCTTAATTTAGCGTAAGGGATTTTTTCAGTCCGCCATGTTCTTAGCAAGTGTCCTAAAGAGAGGCCGTCACCCCCCTGAAAACATATTGAAATTTAATGTTCCAGGGGGTGAATGCCTCTCTTTAGGCCACTAGCTAAGAACATGGTCACCGGCTATTTTGGTAAAAACTACCTCACGGTTTTCCCGCGGAAGTGAGACCTATGAGATCTGTATGTACCTACTCTGTGTCATTACTCCGCAATGCCGGATGATTTTACTCCCTGAAGAGTAAATCATCATGCGGCATTTAAAGTGTCCCTGAGAATCTTCTTGAAACGTAGATTATGAAAATACAAAACAGATTTAAAATTGAGCTTGTTTTCACGAAATAATAAAGGCAGTGAAATTTGAATATTCCGAATTTTAACGGCAAAAGTTTTTGAAAACCGCGAAAGTGGGAAACTGGTAACTATACGTCATAGTAAGGACACATTGCTTACTCGCGTAAAGGCCCTGTCACACTATTGCATATCGTACTAGCGTATGAAAAATATCACTCGTACGCTGGTATACGCTGACCGATACGTTAGGAGTACGTTAGGCATAGATTGAATACGTTTCAAGCACGGTCGCATACGGTGGCATACGGCGAGGCCCGGCGAGACAGAAACATCTTTTAAGCATGCGTAAAAATTTTGTGCGTATTCGGACGTATGGTTTATACGATAAGCATACGCTAGGCACACGCTGAATACGTTAGAGGTACGCCAGATGTACGGTACTCATACGCTGACATTTCATTGCGTTGTAATTTTGTGCGTATGAAAATTATTTCATTAATTTTCATACGCTTCTCATACGTTTCTCTCATACGCATTTGTGTGACAGGGCCTTAAGTGAAAAGTATATACATACGAAGTGAGAATCACATTCAAGCTGGTGAAAATTCAATAAAAATGTTCTCGTCGAGTGCAGATACGGAAAATAACAGTTACCAATAACTGGAACTATATTTCTGGGCCGTATCAAATCAAGAAATCGAGTGAAATCGATGAAAACACCAGTGAAGCGAAGTCGAGCAGCGCCGATCATGAGAACGACGTTGGTCCATATGTCAATGAACCAGTTGCGACTTCTCGCAAGTTGACTACTTGACTGATCACAACCAGACTGATCAGTGCCTGGAACTGTGACTCTGTCAATTTGCAAGACATAGTCCTGAAGTTAGTTATGATAGAAACCCTGTTTCAAGGTGAAAGAACATGCCATCTGTTTGAAGAGACACCTTCACCTTTGGGGCCTTGGGGATTTTGACGCGCTTCTTCATGAATGCAGAACAATTCAGTCGACGCTGTAGATGCAGCAATATTGTTAAATAGTTTATAGGCATGAATACTTTATAATTTATATAATTTGGTAAGCAAAGAGCCATTCTTTGAATATATTACCAATAAATCATTATTATTATTATTATCACATGTTTTCACAGCTTTGTTCTTATGCTGGCTATGTTTTTCCTTGGGAAGCTGGCTACAACCAGTATAGGTCCCAAAGATTTTAGTTTTCCATGCTTCTCAGTATTACCGAAATCAGTAGAGTGTCTTTTCCGCATGTTGAAAAGACATTTAGTTTGCCAAATTGCCAATGGCTCGCCAAACACAAAACAAGTACTTTTAAAAATAACAACGTTACTAATAAGTAAAATAACTTACAAGTTCCACGCTACATTCCTTCACCGTGACGTCATAAAACATGAACGTTTCTACTGGCTTTTAACTGTCTTTTCAACTTCCGGAAAAGACACTCTACTGATTTCGGTAATATTCTTGCTGTCCCTAACAATGGTGTTTTTTGAAGAAGTTCTATTCTTATATGAATTCTCAATCCAATTATATACAGTTTATTACTAACTGCTCCTAAGGCACCTACTACTATTGGAATCAATTCTACTTTTTTCATTGCCCATATTTTCCGAATTTCCCTTTTCAACTCATCATACTTTTCTACCTTCTCTCTTTCTTTTAGACTATGATCTTATACTTCTTTTCCTTCTATAAAACCACTACAATATCAGGTGTTCGACATTCAATCACATTTATTTAACTTTGCCAAGTAACATGCAACATTTAACAGTACTGATTTACAACAACATATAATATGTGTTCCATTGGCAGGGTACACGCAACAGTTTTCACCAATTACAGCGGCCCCATTAACTATACTAATACTACACAACGAACACAAATCTAATAACAACACGATATTTGACAGGACAGATTACGAGACTTGTTACAAGACAAACATATAGATTTCCATGTCCTTGGATCATCAACGTCAAAAACGTCTTCCAGCGCTAACTTGTAATATTTAGAAAGTCCGTTTTTGAATTGTCCTAAACTAATGTTATTGCTTGTCAAACTTTTTGGTACTACATTCCATAATCTCTTTGTTCGGTTCAGAAATGACCTTTGATAGGTAGTGGTCTTGCATTGTGCCGTTGTAATTGACAGATGATTGGGATTAGACGACCTGGTTTCTCTTCTGTTGTTATTGGGTGACGACTGTATTAAATTATTGTCAATGGTCATGATCCATGCGTTAATTTGTAGAAGGTTACCATATCTAGAAATTCATGCCAGTAGCACAATGGAAGGAGGTCTAAAAGTATAAGTCTCTGGTTGTAGGTTGTGTCACAACGGAAGGGCAGATTTAGGATGTACTTTGTTGCGCGTCTTTGAAGTCTTTCCACGCGTTTGATTAAGGTTACTGATTGTGGTGCCCAAATTTGAGATCCATAGCAGAGCTGGGAACGAACAAGACATAAATATAGTCTGCGACGAACCGTGATATCTTTGATGTTTAAGGTTGATCTTCGGACATATCCTAGCATTTTGGTGGCTTTGTTGCACAGGTGGTCAACTTGTTTAGACCAAGTCAGAGTAGAAGATGTTAAAACTCCAAGATCTCGTTCACAATCCGTGCATTCTAAGATGGTATCGTTAAGCTTGTATGGATAAATAATTTTATTGTGCTTTCGGGTGACTCTTAAGACTTTGCATTTGGTGTTATTCAATTCGAGGTTGATACTGCTTGAGCTTTCTTGAAAGTTTGACAGATCATTCTGCAGAGCAGACGCATCAGAGATCGAATTGATGGTCTTGAAGATCTTGGTATTGTCCGCGAATATAGTAATCCTTGAATTGGTCAGGAATTGGAGAGATGATTCTCATATAGAAGGAACAATAATGGACCGAGGATGGACCCCTGTGGCACTCCTGATGTTACTGGAAGCGGCCTCGACGTTGCTCCAAGAACGGTCGTTTGTTGATATCGGTTGGTCAGATATGAACCGAACTATTTGAGAATGCTTCCTCCAATCCCGAATTCACATGATCGCACTGTATGTTAAAATCCCAAAGAATCTTCACATTATTTGATTCAATTACTCCATTTGGTTGGTGTTCATGCTATTTTTCAGCTTTCTCTAGTTGGTACAAACCACATAACCTCCAGTGTAGAATCCGAGCCACATTGTCATGTCTTCTTTTGTATTTTTGTGCTAGCTTCTTGCATTCACTTATCAAGTGTGTTATATGCTCTCCCTTTTCCCCACAGAGTCTACAGAGTGGAGACTCAACAGTTGAAACTTTACATAATTTGTCCTTAGAGCTTGTTCTTGTGTAGCGCACAGAAGTGCTTCAGTCTCCGGTTTCAGGTTCCCTTTCTTCAGCCACCACCATGTCTTCTCCCTATCCACGTCATTGCCTAAATCTCTTTTATATTGTCCATACATTCTCTTGTCAATCCAGGCTTTCTCTAGCTTCTCTACTGCTTTCTTCTTAAAATTTTCTTTTGTTTCGCATCTTTCCGTTTCAATCACACTTGTCTTTGCAACTTGTTGTAAAAGTGATTCTACAATGTTTTTTACATACCATCCCAAACTGTTCTCTGCACGAATGCATCCTTCATAGCTGATCAAACCTCTTCCACCCTTTTTTCCTCGGTAAATATAATCTATGAGTCTCACTTTTTCGGTGGAGAGCACCATACATTGTTACGTGTTTTGCAATCCATTGCAGCAATTTCATCTTTTGTCCATTTCAAGACACCAGCTCTGTATCTCAGCAACAGCCCAAGTATTCATTGCTATGATTCTATTTCTGCTATTCAGTTTTGATTTCAGCACCAGTCTTAATCTTCTCCCATGTTCCTTTACAAACTTTCTCTTCATTTCACCTTCCATTATTTTATCTAATTCCAGTATACCAAGATATTTATATCCATCTTCTTCTACTGACTTTATGCATACATGTCCAATACTGTCGACATGATACGGATCGTGAAGCAGCTTCACGATCCGTCAAATTCGTACGGACGGTAAACACGAGTCACGATCAGTATCAACTTGTAAACGCAATAGGTGGTCTCCAATAGCAGATGCTTGTTGCCCAGATCTACCAACAGTTCGACGGATCGTACCGTTCGTACGGCTGGTAACACGATTCACGATCCGACAAATCCGTACGGTCCGTACGAACTGTGAAATGGCTTTACGGACCGTACGCTTCGTACGGTTCGTGAAAATGATTTACAGATCGTGAACCTATAATAACTTCAAACATTATAATATGCTGTTTGCAGTTTATCAATATAATATGTTGTTGCTCCGTTCTTACGAAACCACGCATATACTGTATCAATATAATGTTGTTTCTCCGTTCTTAAAAAAACACGCAATATATCAGTAATATTGTTGCTCCGTTCTTAAGAAACCATGCAAACAATATCAGTAATATATATTGTTGCTCCGTTCTTAAAGAAACCACGCCATTTACCTGTATAATATGTTGTTGCTCCGTTCTTAAGAAACCACGCAATATATCAATATAATATGTTGTTGCTCCGTTCTTAACAAACTACGCAATTTATCAGTATTATATGCTGTTGCTCCGTTCTTAAGAAACCACGCAATATATCAATATAATATGTTGTTGCTCCGTTTTTACGAAACCACGCAATATATCAATATAATATGTTGTTGCTCCGTTCTTAAGAAACTATGCAATACAGAGTGTATCACAATACCTGCAAACACTATATAATTTGCATAATTCTACTGCTTACTAACATTTCAATGTACAGGGTGAGTAAAAAAACTAGCCGCAAAGGTATCAGTTTTTTTTACTCACCCTGTATGTGCTATTTATTTTGCTCCTGCATGAGATTTGAACTGCCCATCTAACTTAATTAACCGCGTGAATAGAAATTACTATACGTATACGCTTGGGATCAAATAGTTCTGAATCCTGCAAATTCTAAAAACATTGTATTTCAATGGGTTAGTTAGCAGGTTTTTTGATACACCCTATATATATCAATATAATATACCTTCTCTTATACACTGATTTAATTAGGCGCAGCGGTGAGAATATATGAGATTTCGACAAACAATTTTTATCGGACTCATAATTATTTGCTCAATTGTTCTCTACATGGTGCATGAAAAAAGATAATCCAAATTCAGCGCGCTATTGCACCTGCGTATGAACGAGATTCGTATTCGGAACGCCCATGCAAATGCACGCAATTTACCAATTTGACAGCCTACCTATGTAGGCATATTAACTCTTCAATACATGCATGTAAAGTGGTGTTTCCCCATGTATATAACACTTACTGAAACCCACTATAACCAGGGCATTTTTTAACTATATAAACTCTTTTGTCAGAAAGTTGTCCCATCTTTTGCTGTCAGGTTATGAAGATGTCCCATCTTTTCTTAACCAGTGGAAGCTTAAAAGGAGTCTTATATTATTCTTTACCCCACAACGCAGGCGCGGGCGTAAATTCCGCAAAATAGTTAAGACAATGGTATCAATGCAGCTATTGTTTTTGGAATAATATGTAGATATATCTTGGTGATTATGGTGAAAACGTTTGTGCCAGATTCATGTGCGCACTATGGCCTAGGGAAAGGCGGTATACGTGTATAAGCCACTGAAGCCGACGCACTTTTTATACTGCCCGGATCTATAACGATGGCAAATAAGTTTCGACGTTTCGATATGGAATTATCATGCCATACTTTGAACATAAACAAAATCTAGGTTGAATATTATTCACGCTATTCTCTAACAGAAATTATTCACGCTATGCATAACAGAAAATTAGCTGGATTGATGACATCTTATAGCGGCAATTAATAATGCGATTAGCGTTGCTCACTTCCTGAAGTTGCAAACTCAGTATGCAAATCCCGCTGTTTTTCAAAACGGCGCATTACCAGAAATATGGGACAAGATGGCGACGGACATGCGCACTTTGACCAAATATGGCGACCAAATATTACTATAAACTATATGGGAGTTGATCAAAATATCAAATTTTAATATACTTTGTTTAAATATTTCATGGTTGCGGAGCTCGATTATAGTTGCGACACCAACAAGCAATATTTCTAAACAAAAATCGCTAGTATTGCACCGCGTCTAGCAGGTTCCTGAGAATGTTGTATTTTTACACGCAATTTGATGAATTTCATAGTGTAATTTATAGTAAACTTCTGACACAAGAGGTAAATATCCGACGAATAGACCAACATCCATTCGGGCGATGAAAAGTGCGGAGCTCGCAACATATTTAATGATGTCCAAACTGTTAATTTAGCTAAATAAATCCGCTGTAATACCCAGGGAAACTGGTTCCCGAAACGTTTAAAAGTTCGCCTTTTTACGGTTCTTGTATGTCGCCATTAGGCCATCTTAATATCCGAAAACGACAAGTTTTAATACAAATTTGAGCTGTTTCGAGCAGCCATGTTTGTTGTTTATTTTAAAAGACTAGATCCCAGGCTCTCACGTAAAAACACAGGGATATTTTAGGATTTTTTAGGATATTTGCAATATTTTTAGTCTTCATAAAAATTTGCGGGGTTAAATGTCAAAATACCGGAAGTGATCAGCATAAACTGCAAAATATAGTTTAAAATCACAGTTTTTGGTTGAATAATACTTGAACTGGAGTTTCAAAGTAAAATGCGAAGTCGTTTTACTTATATTAGGGAATGTTGGGCATATAAAACGGACTTAGCCGCTGACTACAAAAGCGGGAGCAAAATGTCCCATATTTCTGGTAATGGGCGAGTAATTAATTAACGTACAAATCCATGCTAAAGTTGGCTTGCGTTTTTAGACACACTGTATATCAGCCAATATTTATACACAAATATTCCCGATCCGATAACACAATAGCTTTGTCGGCACAACCTGTCAAATTAACATTGCCTTTACCTATAACTACTGAAATTTAGCATGTAATAAGGCAGGCCTCAATTCCTGATTCATAACCACCCTTAGCCGCGGCCTTAGAAAAAATTATGCCCGCAAAAACTTTTCGCGCGTGGAAATTTTTCATCCATACGTTTTAAAATTTGTCTGTTCATATAATTACACGCAATTATTAGATAAATGTGCATAAAACCAAGTGTAAACTGGATGTTATATACCGCACATTTGAATGCTATACCTATCAAGTATCTTTTTGGCAGACGGCAGGTGCCAAACGGAATCATCCAGCATTACAATGTCATTGTCATTGACATAATATTGTCATTTAATACTTTGGTATACGCTTTTTTTCGCCTTATAACATAGTCTCGTTCACAAACGCCACTATTGTTCTGTCCGCAGTTTTAGCACACAGCCACACGTCAGTTATTCCACAACGGGGAAACCACTTCTAATCATCTACAATCTGACAAGAAGAATATATTTTCGACATGGCAAACCGTATACTACGTCATCATGTATTTAATTGTTGCCTTGACCGAGTTAAAGATTGGGCACGAAAAGTACGGTCCGTAAAGCCATTTCACAGTTCGTACGGACCGCACGATCCGTACGGATCGACAAACTTTTATGCCCTGACTTAAACACAACATCGCCATCGACAAAGTAGGTTCACGATCCGTAAACTCATCTTCACGAACCGTATACGGTTCGTACGGTCCGTAAAGCCATTTCACAGTTCGTACGGACCGTACGATCCGTACGGATCGACAAACTTTTATGCCCTCACTTCAACACAACATCGCTATCGACAAAGTAGGTTCACGATCCGTAAAGCCATTTTACAAGTTCGTACGGACCGTACGGATTGTGTTCAATGTTTTACCATCTTTACGATCCGTATACGTTCGACAGTATTGGACAACCATCACTTTATTTTTTCCTCATCAGGTAGCTGTATTCCATTACATTCCATAATCTTTCCTCTTTTATTACAAGCACTCCACATTTCTTTATCCCAAATTCCATTCCAATGTCTTTGGTAATAATATGAACAGTTTTCGCCAGTGAGCCTATTTGCTCGTTCTTTCCAAACAACTTCAGATCATCCATGAATAGAAGATGGTTGATTTTGAGTTCTTTTCAGCGAAATTCATACCCTACCTTGTACTTTCTCAGTATTGAGCTTAACGGTATCATGCACATCACAAATATCAAGGGAGGTAATTGTGATGTGCATGATACCATTATTATTATTATTTCAAAATTCCGCCCCATAACACTCGCATCCATACCTTTAAAAGTATTCACATCTTGTCTCCGAAACGCAGTATACTCCTTCCTCGCATCTAATATTAATAACTTCGTCGAACACAACATACAAAAATAGGTACGCCAGGCGTACATGTATCTGCGCATAGCGCCATTCGATTTATTACCTCCGCCAGGAGGTTGTGTAATCATCTGGGTTTGTTACCTCCGCCAGGAGGTTATGTAATCATCTGGGTTTGTATGTGTGTGTGTATGTGTGTTTGTCTGTGAGCACGATAACTCAAGAAATACCAAACATATTCATACGTAATTTTTTGAATGCATTTCCCATCGGCTAAGGAAGAATTGATTAAAATTTGGTTGAATTTGGTTAAAAATTGAACGAGAAATGAACAAAATTTTGTCTTGCTTTTCCCGGTCAATTAAAAAAACTTACTGAATGCGTAATTAGGACGTGTGATAATTTATGCACTAGTATACAGGGTATATAAAAGCATACAATGGTATTATAATCTCTTTAGATTGTATACAATTGTAAATCTCATTATATAAGGGAGGCTGCTCAAAAATCGTGTGCTTTACAAATATATTCTAATTTCGTTATAATAATAGTAGGTCAATAGTTATATATACACGCTGGCAATATTTTAGGTACGTTTTATACGCCGAATTTCGGTGGCGTCGAATGCGATTAAGACATTATTAAATAAAATAGATAAAACCTCATTAAGCTTCAGCCTTCATTATCTATCGTCTTCGCGCGACCGAAATTCAATGTAGGCTTACGGAGTTACGCATCGTTGCGTTCAGCAAAGTGCTAGGCCATTCGTTCACTCTTTTCATATAATACGCACGCGCAGAGACACATCTGCGTGTTCATTCTTTCTAGGCATGCGCATAAACCGAATTTTCTCCCACAATTGAAATGTTCAAGATTGCGGAATAAAAACTAGCAAAGTAACTGTTCGAATGTGTTCGGGACGCTGTCGTCAGATACTGTCCATAGTTGTGCCGATGATTGCTGATGAGGCACAGCTCTCCAGTGAGAGGTAATGAGGTACGCTTTTGTCTTCTAAATTTCCATCATCAAGTGTGCAGGGGAAAATTAGAAGACAAAGAAATCTTTGGTTTTCAACTAAATTTTCCGTGGAAATTTAGAAGGGAAATTTAGAAGACAAAAGCGTATGCATAGGAAATGAGGGAAATACGTGATTAAACGCCCTTTTGGGTTGTAGGTCCCTGGGAATTGAAATCGGATTGCTAATAGATCATATTGCTGTTGTTGTACTGTACTTGTAAAATAAAAACTTATTAAGTGTCATTTAATAAATGCGTAAATTTTGCTTTATGCACTCGCGTTTATACACCCTGTAGGCTGTATGGGCGGAAGTATGCACTATGCAGTCTCTGAGTGCCCTCTAGTTTAGATTGTAACAGTAGTAGACAACTTTCATTTACATGACAATTAAAAATTGACCATTTCAGAGCACATGTCATAACAGATTCTTTGTTCGCTACTATAGCTAAGTAAAGAATCTGATAATTGCACGTTGTCTGAATTGGCCAATTTATATCTAATTGTCATGGAGGCGAAATTTGTCTATTTCATTGGTTATGTTGACATTTGGATATAACTTGTTAATTTGTTGTCATTGGAAACAACTTTTAATTGAATATCCCCAAAAATGCCCCTGTTACATTGTTTTTATTTAAGTTGCAAATTTTTATATTAGGTAACATAACTATTATATCTTTGTTGCTTAATTAATTAAAACTTTCTGATCTAAATAACAGTTGACGTCACTAGTAGCTGCAGCAACACCAACATTGCAATGCATATTTATTTTAACTAATATTGGTTTCCGTGTTACCTACAAATATCTTAAATTAGTTTATAACCAATTTTCATAATTTGGAAAGTGGAAATATTGGTGTTGCCACTTTAAGTGGCTCTAGAATGCAGTTGGTTAGTCATTTAGATCAGACAGTTTAAAGCAACAAAAAATATATATTTTATACAATGGTCACAGAATACTATACAGAAGTCCATCTCCTTTGTTTTTTGCGAAAGCGCTATTCGTCATGATTCGTCACTTAGCAAGTACCGTAAACAGAAGCAGTCACCCCTGGACGTGTGCCATTTTAAATATTTCCAGGGGGTGACTGCTTCTGTTTACGGTACTTGCTGAGTGACGAATCATGCCGAATAGCGCTTACGCAAAAAGCGATGGAGATGGACATCTGTATACAGGGTGTATAAAAAAAAACTGAACAGATTTGAAATTGCTCTCAATTTCGCAAAACACCTATTTGTATCTGTTTTTATATATATAGCTTCTTTGGGTACTTCTAATGTAAAATAATGAAAAAAATTTCTCGAACTCAAATTTTGTGAACCAGGGGGGTGTGTCTTTTCCAACAAATTAAAAATGGCTCGCGCACAAAATTTAAAAGCTGTAATCATATTTTGAGTTAATAGATTGAAAATTTGTCGGGTTTTTAATTCCTTTACGAAATTTCAGATAATTTGGTTTAATTTAAGCCCTTTAACTATTCATTTTGTTCTAAAAAGTCAGCCTTTCGCATGCTTAATTAATGCCTTTACTTAATTTGCATATTGCTGACATATGCAAATTAGGCAAATGCATTAATTAAGCATGCAATTCGGGAAAATTGTAACTTTGCGTGAATAGTTAAGGAGCTTAAACTAAACCAAATTGTCTGAAATTTTTTACAGTAATTAAAATCCCGACAAATTTTCCATCTGTTAACTCAAAATATGATTGCAGCTTTTAAATTTTGTGCGCGAGCCATTTTTAGTTTGTTGGAAAAGACACACCCCCTGGTTCACAAAATTTGACTTCGAGAAATTTTTCTCATTATTCTACATTATAAGTACCCAAAGAGGCTATATATATAAAAAACCGGATGCAAATAGCTGTTTTGCGAAATTGAGAGCAATTTTAAATCTGTTCAGTTTTTTTTTATACACCCTGTAGTATTCTGTGCAATAATGGTGCTGCAATCTCAATTGTGATTGGCTAAGAGCCTACAGCTAGATAACCCTCCATGTCTTATTGCCACGTACAGCATTGAAATTTGTCTGTAGGTGATGTAATTTTTAATGTGTCAGCTGACTAGTTTTCCTGTCAGTATAATGTCATGGCAGAGTATAATAAAACAATTGCTGAATTCAGCTTTTGCATGATATCAACAATTATCCAGACCTCTGTCAATGTTATCCGCTACAGGCGTCGCAGATAACATTGACCTCATTCTAGGTAATTCTTCGTATCACGCTCAGCCTCTTGTTAACCCATTAAGCGCCAGCGCTGTAATGCGACTCGATAGGCTAAATATATTTACTTTACAGAATGTAAAAATTCACAACTTAGATAAAAGTTAACAAGGTAATGTCACAAAGCGAGATGGGGAGCATGTTAAGTGACATTGGAATAACTTTAACACACTTGAGTGACAGCACTTTCCCCCTGACGAGTAAAATTTTCTGGCGTTAGACAGAGTAAAATAATCGCCAGTTCTAGACAGAGTAAGATAATAGACTAAGAGTATGCCGCATTGCCACTTAATGGTTAACAGAGTGCATGGGCATGCAGATACTCTTATTAATTAGCCAATCTCCCGCTGTCGCACGCGTTTCGATAGATGAACTTGCCTTCGAGGGTGACAGGAGAATCCAATTTGGTCGTAGACCTTCGCTAATTTCCCATTTTCCGTTGGTTCTTCGCTGATCTTCTTTGGAAACGTCACGCTCAAAGTATTTTTGTTGCAATCCCACGGCAAGCCAAGAATGCTTGTTTTATTAGACTGAGAAATGTTCAACAGTTGTTCAACAAATGATGGTTCCATATCAGCATAACTTCCGGTCTGCTCCATGGTCCCTAGTTCTGGAACATTAGAGTGCCATTTATGAAGATGAAAACTCAACTGGCGTCGTCAAAAATCTCAATTGCATTTCGTTTAAGCTCTTGCACTTCGTTAACAGCTGTACCCCTCCCCCCACCCCCTCCCCCCGATATTAGATCATCTACGTATAAACTGCGACGGATTTCTTGTACGCTTTGAGGGTGTCTTGGTTCCCAACCAATAAGATGTTGCTCGATAACACCTCCAAGTAAGAAAGGCGAAGGTGCTAGGCCAAACAGTGCACGTGTAAAGCGATAGGTTTCCACTTCGTTTGAAACGAGGCTCTTCAACCAGTGGAACCGAAGTGCATCACGATCACCGTCTCTAATTCGGACTTGTAGAAAGGCTTTGCGTATATCACCGGTCAAACACACTGGGTGAAATCTCCCACGAACCAACACATTCCACAATTTGTTTTGTAGAGGGGGCAGGGTCTAGGCAGTCGTTAAGCGAAGGGGAATTTCGGTCGGCTTTTGCTGAGCAATCGTAGACAATTCTCATCTTTGTGCTCTCGGCTTCATCACGGATAACGGCGCGGTGAGGCACGTAGCATTCTCTTCCCACGACTTTTTCAGGCGCCTTTTCAACAACCCCTTCGGCGAGTTATTCTTTGAATGATTGTGTCATACGCTTCGAGATTCCTTCCAGACCTCCCCCTGATCGCCGGGGGGTGAATCTTCCAAACCAAGCACGTCAAGAGTACACAAACGGTCATAGTGGTGGCGTTGACTGAGAGAAACCCGGTTTTAAGATCGGCTCCGGCTCCAGGTTATAGCCCAGCCAAAACGTGTTAATTCAGCGACTGGTTCGCCTTGTCTACCAATTCGTGCCTGGGTTTGCGTGCGAATTTTGGCATATTCGTTTGCGCCAATTATCAAATGTACAGGTAACTATTCTATCATCGGTCATGTCATCGATGTTCATAATTAGGATTATCTAAAGTCAATAGTTCGCGCTTGTTTGTTTTAGTAACTCCGGCATTGAGAACAAATTTCCATATTATTGCTTCTAAAGACAAATTGTATTCTTCAACTTTAGTCGTAGTTGTGCTCATTAAGGTAGCTGTTCTGTGAGTACTAGTTTTGACAGGACGCGCTTAAATCTGTTCGATTAAGGTCGAGGAAGCGTAAGAGTGACTGGTGCCACTAATAATAATAATCCCGTCGGAGGTGCAAGTAATGTGGGGAACGGCAGGTTCGGTTCCGTTCAGTACGATCCCACAAGATCACAAATTCACTCACAGTTTAGAAATGATATTTCACAAACGATTTAGCTCTCGCTCTCTTGGCTCACAATCTCACAAGATAGAAAACATGCACAAACACTTATCTTTGAACACAACAAAAAGGATTATATGAGTTCAATTAACAAATGACGTAGTTCGAATAATAGGATCTAGATGAACAGTGCATGATAACATCTAGCTTAAGGCAATTTTCGACATCGTTTTCTATACGGTTTCATAGGCACTTACAGTACATAGTCCAGTCCAAAGTCCTGTTCATAGTCCAGTCCAGTGTTCACAACATGGTTCACAATATGCCGTATAGCCTTGCCTTGCCCTTGATTCTTTTCTCAGCTGCTGGAGTGTTGACTGAGATTAATTAAGATTAGTTCTTTTAAGTTTACTATTTATTTGCCCGCATGTAAGCCAGTTTTCGAGCTTATATAATTGCAAAATAGTTCTTAAAAATACGTACACTCTCAAAACCCAAACGTCATTCTGGTAATGATAAAGTTATGAAATAAAATGATTTTCAAATTGACCTTGTCCTTGGCATAGTCTATCGAGATATATGATACACTCAGATTATGTTTTTGGCTTGAGTTAATTCATTTGAGCTCATTAATTAATTGTATTTTCGTACAATGAGTAACTGTCCAATAGGGATAGCTAAGATGAAACGTGCAACCACGATGAATAATATTTAATGAAGTTGACGAGGTTTTGTGCACGGTGAGGTGACATCAAACAAAGGTCTTCTATTTTGTAGCTTTCAACTTTGCCGGGCTTCCAGACCATCATATCTTAATGGACTTAGACTATGTCGTTGGCGAACGACAGTGAACGACAAACGACAGTGGGCGCCGCGAACTAAATATAGAATAGAGCTCAAATGACAACCGAAACATCAGATGGTGAGCCAATTTTCTGAGTATAGGTTTGATACGCATCCACACCAAAACACGTATATATATATATATATATATATATATATATATATATATATATATATATATATATATATATATATATATATATATATATATATATATATATATATATATATATATATATATATATATATATATATATATATATACGAGTAGGTTTGTGGATACGAAACGCAAAGAGTGCTCAATATCATAAAGATAGAGCAAATGTAGAATTTCGCTTACCTCAAAATTCCGCAACAGTCTGTTTCATCAGTAAACGTCGTCACTGTTGCGGAATTTTGAGGTAAGCGAAATACTCTTAAGTAGCTACATCTTGTTTCTTGTATTTATAAGTCATTATCAAATGTTCTAAACGACCATGCGGACAATGGGAATATTTCGGGCTGTAAGAAGCGCCGTAAACTCATGACATAAAAGCACATTGCTTGCATCCAGAATGAACGCTAAACAGTTCATGAACTTCATGGCCTTGATTAGACTTGCTCCAAGTCTCTTTTTCATTGTCATATAGTATCGATCCACTATAGTGTACATTACATGACGTAGCACGGAGAGGCGGAGCGAGAAAGAGAGACTTGTCAACTTCGGAAAATCTCGGTTCAAAACTGAACCGAAAATGCAAGACGTGCTTTAATTGTTTTCTGTCAGTGTTTATATCAGTATTGATCTAGCACAGTGTAAATAACATGAGGTCCATTATAGTAAATAATACAGAAAGAAATTGACAGAAAACAATTAAAGCCGGCAAGTCTTGCATTTTCGGTTCAGTTTTGAACCGAGATTTTCCGAAGTTGACAAGTCTCTCTTTCTCGCTCCGCCTCTCCGTCATGTAATGTACACTATAGTGGATCGATACTATATGAAAATGAAAGCGAGACTTGGAGCAAGTCTAGGCCTTGATGGATATTAGCACAAAGAAATAAAGTTATACTTACCTGGTTTCTTCGGGGAATGTTCGTATATTTCGCATCAAGCCAGAATAAAAGTTTGCATATAAATATGTGGACGCGCAATTTAATATTTTTCCCGCACTCCCCCCGTCCGTCCCCCCCCGGAATTACGACATCTTAAGAGACACAAGATCGAGATCAATCGAGATCTCGACAATACATATATCGGCGCGAAAGACTGGGTCGAGTGAACGCTGGAGAAAACCCATTCTCGTTCCCCGAGTCTGCGATCCTCGGGAAGGAACGCGAGGCTCTGGGATAATCCGTTTCAGGGAGGAATCTGATTGGCCGTTGAAATGGAATGCGTAGTTCGATCTTAGCCAGGATTCCTGGCTTCCGGCAACGGATTATCCCAGAGCCTAGCGTTCCTTCCTGAGGATCGCAGGCTCGGGGAACGAGAATGGAGAAAACCTTCATGTCAAGATTAGGAACGGTACCGGACGAATTTGGGATCGGTCTAAAATTCGTCCATTTCGGCCGTGTAAACACACGAGAACCACGGAACCGGACGAATTTGAGACCCCCTAACACGACGAATTCTCGTGTAAACTGGCAAAAAAGGACGAATTTCAGACCGGTCCCAATTAAATTCGTCCGGTACCGTTTAAACGGGGTCTCAGTCTTCCAAACCAAGCACGAAAGAGCATATATGCGTCCAGTATCATAAAAATTGCATCAAAATAGAACTTTTTTGAGCTTCTAACTTATGCTCCGTTTTAACATAATTTGTAGTGTTTAAGACTCGTCGATTTATTTTTCTGAAGCCTCAAAATTGATTTTAATCCAAGTGGTCCTGTTGCTGCTGTAAGGAGCAAAAGCATCACTTTCATATGAAGGAACTTTCCATATGGTTCTACAGTATATTTTGTATAAGGATGTCACATTGCAAGGATGTCATAACAATATGAACTTTTTATTATCTCAAATGAAAGAAATGTAACTAGACGGTATATCATGCAGACAAAGACAAAGTATAATCTTATGTTTCAAATAAAAAAAATGTTTGGTGATCCAAACCTATTTTAAACAAAGAAACTCAGTTCGATATTGTAAACGTAAACAAGCTTTGAAATCCCGCCTGCTTAATACATCACAACGTGATATTTGTTGCACAACAATGGTAGTTCCTGTCAAGTGACAGGAAGAACACACCCTAGATAATCATCATGTACACTATATATGTCATAATACTTGGAAATTTTACAGTAGGTTGATTATATTTCGTGAGTGAATGTGCTTGGGCAGATTGTCTATTTAGTCTAAGTTCAGTATCGCTTTGTTGTGTGAGTATAGAAGTTCAGTATGGCGTCAATTGTCACAAAAATTCTAAGTTCAACAGTGGGTTTACTCGTGAATAAAGCTCGCGACTCGACTGTGGCTAAACTGAAGGACGGCGATGTTACAGATGCCAAGATTCGCGAGCTCGTCGTGAGGGAGTTGAACGACGTCAAGACGAAACTCGATGGTCTTTCCCGTGCGAATTTACTTAGCAGCTACAACTTCGTACAAGAAGGAGTAAATTTACTTATTGCTTCGATTAATAAATCAAAGCTCGGGCAGAAAGCTTTGGTGAATGAAACCCAAGATGATCAAGGTGAAACAACAATGCTGAGTGGCGCCCAGTCTGAGATCTTGAACGAAGCGTTAGAACTTTCTCACGCCATGAAAAAAGTAAAGATAAAGTCAGATGGAGACCTTGAATCTGCTAAAGAACGATTCAAAGATGCCCGTACCAGAGCAACGGATGTTTTTTTTAATGAAGCCTTAAGTACGAAAGATAGGATCTTGGCCGCGAAGATACGAATAGTTTCCGAAATACTGGAATATCTCGAAAGCCCGGAAACCGCGATTACAGGATGTCTACCGTTTCTGCAAAAGTTACATAGCTTACCTGCCATTGAAGAGACATTCTCAGTGTACCTCAATGGTGGGGTGAAGTCGTGAGTGAATAAAAGCGAGCGAGTCGAGAACGTACAATCCGTAATGCTGATTAACCGTGTCTTATTTCAGTATGTTTCGAAATTCAGCACTAAGTATTCCACCGTGCTCGCCTGGCCAACAATTAAACTTGATGATCGTAGTTTTAACCCAATATTGAATTGGCGGGAGATTTCAACAAGAAAATCTATGGGTGAAGAACTGACCCAACTTCCCAAGGTCAAGGGACTGATACTTGAGCAAGAAATAGATTCTGACTTACCTGACTATTCTGCTGTAAATAGCCATGGGGATATTATTGTTGGAGAAGATCCGGGAAACATCAAGATTATAAATCAGACAGGCGAAAACAAGGTGGTTAAACTACCTGAACCTGAACCCATTGTCGTTGAGGGTAAAGTTGTTGAGCAATGTATTTCATGTATTTCTGTTGATAAGAATAACAATGTTTACGTGGTGAGATGGGTTCGAACAAGTACGGAAAAAGGGTATGTAAAAAGTAGCGTGTTGACTGTACTGGACGAGAACTACAATGTGAAGCAGGACTCGCGCAGATTGGAATTTCTGGGGACATCAAATAATGTGAAGATCGCTATAAACAAGAACAATAATATCATCATGATGAACTTCCTTGATTCCCAGGTATATGTCTTGGACAATACTGGAGAATTAAAGCACAAGTTTCAACCAGGCTTACGTTATCCACGCAGCATGGATATTTCTGGGCAGGATGAAATCATGGTAACATTTTACTATGACCAGGTTGTGAAGATATACTCCGAGGAAGGAAATTTGAAGTCGATAATAAAACTACCAGAAGGTCACGTGGTCCTTGGGTTGGCATTTCATTATGTCATTTGTAAAATAATTGTCTTAACCTATCTCGAGAAAAAATATTCCTATTTTCTTCTGTACTACACTGAAGCAGGTGAACTGGAAAGCACAACGTTCTTTGGTAAGAGAATTCGGGGTGAATATACACCCTGCATTTATTCTAATCCAAGTGAAGTGGTCCTGTTGCTGTTGTAAGGGAAAAAAGCATTATTTTCATTTGAGCGTACTTTCCATATGTTGGTCTAGTTTATAGAAAGACTTCCTATAAAATCCTGCCTGTCAAACTTAAATAATTATCTTAAATAGCATAAGTGGTAACTGTAGCCTTGGTATGGGAAATTTGTGATCGTTTACTGATGTGAACTTCAAGTATTTCATATAAACGTTTTGACACGTGATTTTTCCATGTTCCTGACTCTATAATACAATTTAAGCCCTGTTTACACTACGCTCAATTTTTGGTACGGCACGGATAAAATCGGTACCCGTACACTTTTTTGGTTCTTGGAGGTAGTCCAAGAACCAAAAAGTGGTACGGTACCAAAAATTGAGCGTAGTGTAAACGGGGCTTAGCTAAATAGGTAGTCCAAGAACCAAAAAAGTGGTACGGGTACCAATTTTATCCGTGCCGTACAAAAAATTGAGCGTAGTGTAAACGGGGCTTTAGTAAGAACGTTTTACAGTGAGTTTATTGATTTGAACATCTAATTAGGTATTTGTTGTTTTGAACAATTGTATATTTAATTAAGAAGTACAAGATGGAGTAATACGAGAAACAAAATTACTGAAACTTGCAACAAAAACTGATTTCAATGCATGTTAATTAAAAATCTTCACAGATAAGTAACCAAACATGAGAAAATATTTGTAAACATCCCTAACTAACATGCATTGAAATCAGTTTTGTTGCACGTGGCAGGAATTGTGTTGCTCGTATTACTCCACCTTTAACAGGCTTGAACATATATAAACTTTAAAAATGCATATATAGTTATAAACATTATGATATATCAATTATATATTTCAATTATTGTTTTAGAAATATTTTAAATAAAATATTTCTAAAACGACAATTGAAATATA